GGCCACAGTAATTCCTGGGGGTTGGGGAGCCAGCTCCCTCCGCCCAGCTCTGTGGGTCTCCGGACCCTGGCTCCCCCAAAGCTGTGCAGATCTCTTCTCTAACCAGTCTGCCCACTCCCATTATTCCCTCTAGACGACCACAAGCCCATCTGGGTGCATGCAGAGGAGCGGGAGAAAATGAGCAAAGTGAGTGGGGGGCCCAGCTTGGGAGCCCCTTTCCCCACACCCCAGCCCACCCTACATCCCAGCCCTTGCCAGCTTGTGCCCCGCAACACTGCACACTCAGCTCTGGCTCACTGCCCCCTCTGCCCTCCTGCAGAGCCAACACCGTGACGGGAGCACACCTTACGCTGAATACGGAGGCTGGTACAAGGCTTGCAAAGTGAGCAGGTACACTGCCAGCCTGGCCTCGGATGCCTACTGCCCCCCACTTGCCCCGGACCTCTCCCCTTCTTCCCTGCACCTTGGCTTAGCTTGAGCTTCTGGCCTTCCCTTTCCTGAGCCCGGTCTCCCTTCCTCCCCGCTCTCACCCCCCACAGCCCCACAGTGAACACCACCTTAAGGAACCTGGGAGCCCTGTACCGCCGCCAGGGAAAGCTGGAGGCCGCTGAGACACTGGAGGAATGTGCCCTGCGTTCCCGGAAACAGGTCTGCTGGGCACAGAGGAGAGGCCTGGTGGAGACTCGGGGACTGCCCCGCCTGCCCAGGCAGCTCTCGAGCTTCCCAAGAACCAGAGAAGAGACTGATAGAGGAGGGGAGGAGGGGGAGGAAGGTGAGGCCAGCCTGCTACAGGTTTTGAAACCAGCGTGACCCTCCCATTGCCCGCATGTCAGAATGGCAGGTTCAAGATTGACTTCATGGCATGGGGATGCGAAGGTCCTGCCCTTGGACAAGCCTCTCAGCTAAGGCACAGGTGGTGTGGGGGAGGGGCCTCTCAGTCAGGTGTTCTCAGATCTGAAATCAGTTCTGAGTGGGTCCTAGCTAAAAGTGTGCATGTAGGAGCGCTGTGTGGGCTACTCATTGGGCTTCTGTGTGCAAGGTTAGCAGTTTGAAAGCTCCGCCCCTCGTAGGGAGAAGGCCGAGGCCTCCTGTTCCTGTGGAGTTCTAGCCTCAGAAATCCACGGCAGGTCTGCCCTGTCCCCTGGGGTGGCTGTGAGTCGGCAGGCAGGGTCTTGAGACATTGTAAGCGGTCAAGCTGGTGCTCCTGTAGTGTTTTGTGCAGGCACAGGACAAGGTCACATTCTTTACTTGAGGGGCCTGCTGGGGGGCAAAAACCTGGCAAGGCCCTTCCTGAGGAGCTTTGGAGCCGGAAGTCTCAACTCCTTCCTCTTGCTTGCAGGGCACTGACCCCATCAGTCACACCAAGGTGGCAGAGCTGCTGGGGGATGGGGATGGAGGCAGGGCCTCCCAGGAAGGGCCTGGGGCCAGCGTGAAGTTCGAGGGGGGTGAAGATGCTTCAGTGGCGGTGGAGTGGGCAGGGGTAAGTCCGACCATCGCCCTTTGTTCTCCTCCCCCTCTTGCTTGTGAGAGGTTCTGAGCCTGCTCCCCTCAGGCCCGTGGTGTGGGATTCCAGGCCCGGTTGTTCTATTCCAGTCCTCTTAGCTCGATCACTCTCAGCGCTGGGAGTGAGATTCCCGCAGGACTCTCATGTCCAGTCACAAGGCTTTGTGGGCCAGGGTGTGCAGAAACAAAGTGGCAGAGGGAGACGCAGAAGCTGGTCTTCATAGGTTATTCCCATCCCTGCCCGTCCCCATCCTCCCCCAGGATGGAAGTGGGACCCTGCAGAGGAGTGGCTCGCTGGGCAAGATCCGGGATGTGCTGCGTCGAAGCAGCGAGCTCCTGGTGCGGAAGCTCCAGGGGACCGAGCCTCGGCCCTCCAGGTACACAGTGCAGTGGCAATGTGACTGGGCAGCCAGGCCAGCCTCTGCCTCCTGCTCCCCTTGGTTGGCCCCTGACCTCTGGAGGAGAAGTGCTTGGGAAGGAAACACACCGGAGGGAGGTCCAGGGGATGGCCATGGAGAGAGAGAGTTTGGGCAAAATGGTGTCCTTCAGGGGCAAGGAGGTGTCCATTGAGAGGGATGCCATTACTAATGAAGAATGCTTGTACTTGGGAGATGGCGGGCAGGCAGCAGTTTGAGATCGTAGCCTCTGAGGGTGAGGGCAGTGCCACGAGGCGTGAAGTGTTAGGACTCCACAGGGAGGAGAGAGGAGGCCTCAGTCCCTCTGTTCCCATTGCAGCAGCCGCATGAAGCGCGCAGCCTCCTTAAACCACCTGAACCAGCCCCACGCAGTACCCCTCCAGGTGAGAGCAGTGCTGGTGAGCAAGCTGATGGTCGGGAGAGAAAGGGCAGCCAGCCATGGGAATTAGGTGGGGGCAGGCAGCCCTCTGAGGGAAAGGGTGGGGAGGGCTGGCTCTAAGGGCCTGGGACTCATCACACCAGCCCAACAACACACACCTCCCCAAAAAGCAGCACTTCCAGCCTTGCCGGTGGGGGGGAGCTCATGAAATGTTTGACCAGCATGGTCTGCAAGTGATGTTAGAAATATCCAACTGGCTCTGGCAGAAAAAAGGTTCCCCACTCCTGCTCTGGCCAGAGAGTTGGGAGTCACTAAGGAATCAGCCAACTTTTTTTTTTGGGTGGGTGGTGGGGGTGGGTGGGTGGTGACCACCAAGGACAGTTTTGGGCTAGAGTGAGTTAGTAGCATATAAGTTAATGAAATGAGTAGGAATGGCTGTTTTCTGAACTGGTACTTTGGGGATCTGAATAATTACATAATGACGGGGAGGGACTGACTGCTCTTCCATCACCTTGGGAACTTAGCCTGGGTGAGGAGGGGGTGGGCTTCACCAGCCTGCACTGAAGCAGCGATTCACGGGGGGTTTCAGTGGGAAAGGACCACTTGAATGAACACATTCAAGCTGGAGTCCAAGGTTATAGACTTGGTCCTCAATACGGCCATGGACAGATGGAGTCATAAGGTGGCTGGAGTTAGGGGCAGTCTCTGGCCTGATGGGTTGTTGTCTGTTTCAGGGCTCCAGGGGCCTCAGCGCCAGTACCACGGACCTCTCTTCAAGCAGCTGACATTCAGCCCGTGCCCCCACAGGCCTGCGGGTCTCCTCACAGCATTCCCCACTGCTCCTGGCTTTCCCCACCTCAGGGTGGGGCAGTGAAGGGGAGCAGTTTTATATGGGAACAGGATAGCTGCTGCCCTTAGGGTCTTGGCAGCTCCCTCCTCAGGAATGTCCTTCAGCAAGGACCCTCAGGACATCCCTCCCACCCTGTGGTCTCTAACTCTGATACCCGGAAGGTGGGTAAGAAGCAGTTATGCACCTCAGAGATGCCACTGCCACCTGCCGCTGGCTTCTCTCTCAGAGGGTTTGAGGGCTGGTCAGTCAAGCCACCTTGTCCTGGCTTCTCCTGCTCCCTCTGTGGCCTCACTTCAGGTCCATGTATTTCATTTTTCTTAAATAGAAGAATCAGGTAACTGTGCTGCCACTTGAGCTCCGTTTGAAGAGTAGTCAGAAAGAATTGTGTTGGATCCTTTCTAGTATGGACTCATTGTGTGTGCCTCACCCCCCCTTGCCCCCCCAATAAGTAAAGTGCAGTAAATCCCATTTGGGAATAGGTTGTCTTTGTTATGTTAATTAGGCAGGATTGGTGTGAGGGTGTGGCTTAACCCAGCGGATTGCGATATAAAAGAGTTTAAACAAGCTGGTCAGAGAAATAGAGCCTGGGGAGAAGAGTGGCCAAGGCTCCGGGAGCAAGAGCGCAGAAGAGAGGAGGTTCTTCCTCCAGAGCAACAGGAAGTCTTCCCCCAGCACTGGCACCCTGAATTCATATTTCTAGCTTCCTAAACTGTGAGAGAATAAATCTGTGTGTCAAGGCTGTCCACTTGTGGGATTTCTGTTCCGTGGGATCCGAGACACCCACCGGCACAGAAGGGTGAGGGGCAGTGATGGATGGGGCCCCAGGGGAGTGTTGATTTTGGGATTTCTTCTCTCCTCCTTCCCCTGCCTGTATCCTCTCCATCATGGCCTGCAGGAAGGCATCTGGGGGATGGGGGAGGAGGCCCACAACCCAAGGAGAAGGTGCTGGGGACTGGGTTGCTGGGGACATGTGGTGGCCATGTGGCAGGACCCTGGCGTCCTGGCGCCACTGCTCCTGGCTGCCCCTCCTCCTCCCAGCTGCTTAAGAGAAGGGAGGTCTCCGCAGGCCTGGGGGGCCCTGGGAGGCAGAGGGGGAAGAGGTACTACCCATCCCCTCTCTGGTACATCCTGGAGGCCTGAGCGGCAGCTGGGGCCCATCTTCTGAAGCTTGACTCTTCTTGACCCGCCTCCTACACCCCTTGCTGCTTTCACAACAAAGAAAGAATGTAGGGGGGTGGGGTGGTGCTGGGGGTGGGGGTGCCTGGAACAAGCCCTGTGCTAGGCCTCCCCCACAGCTGGAGACTTGGCCATGCCCCCACACAGCCCCAGACTGCCTGGAGATGGACTTGGGATACATTTGTCAGTTTTGCCTGCTGTTCAGAACCCAGCCTTTCTACCTCTGAAGTCAGATTGGTGCAGGGCAAATCACAGTCCAGCCACTGCCCGCCTCCCCCTTCTCCACCCTCCAGCTGTCTGGTGCCCACAGGGTCTCCCGGTCATCTACTTGGTACACCCAGGACAGCCTGATGTTCTAGGTCACTCTCTCCTTACCAAGGAGGGAGACGGAGCCCACACTGTCCCCTCTAGCTCCCTCAAGAGTTCTGGAGGAACTGCTGTTGGGACCCCCAGGAAGGCCCAGAACCAGAAATGTTCACGGAATCACAAAAGCCACTTGAGTTTCCTGGGGTTCTCTGCAGATGGTAGGCCGTGGGCACAGCCTACCCTACCCTAAATCCCTAAGGTCCAATGCACTCTTGGGGACCCTCCCTCTGTTCCTCATCCCTCCGATCCTTCTCCAACAGTGACTCCTCCTCCTCCTCCTCGTCCAAAGCGAGGAGGGGGACCCCAGAGGGGGAGGCGGGGCGCCGCGCGGAGGCTGGCGGGGAGGGGGCGTCGCTGGGCGGGGCTTAGTGGTGGCGGCGCGCGCGAAGACTCGGAGGGACCGGCTCCGCGGGCGCGCACGGCTCCCGCTCCGGCTCGGGCTCGGGCTCCGGCTCCGGCTCCGGACGCCTCCGGCTCGGGCTCAGCTGCTGCTGCAGCAGCGGCGCCCGCGCTCCGTTGCGCTCCGCCTCGCGCGCGGGCCACGGAGCTCAGTCCACGCGCGTGCTGTGCGCCCTCGGCCGCTCTCCCGGATCCCCGTGCCGAGATGGGAGCTGCGCGGGGAGCCCCGGGCAGCCCCCGTCGGCTGCCTGTGCTCAGCGTCCTGCTGCTGCTGCTGGGCGGTGAGTTGGGGCGAGCTGGGGATCTGGGCTTGGGAGGCGCCGGAGCCCTGCGGGCAAAAGGAGGCGCCGGGGAGGTGGGTTTGGGCGGCCGAGGAAAGCCCGAGTGGCAGAAAGGCTCGCCTCTGGAGCGGGGGCGCAGGACGCGGAGGCCCGGAGCCCAGCTAAGCCCCGGCGCTCTGGATCGGGGTGCTCTCTCCCAGCACCTCCAGCGACGCGCTTCCAATTTCCACAGAGTTTTCCTGGCGCCACCGGAGAGGAGAGTTCTCTCCGGATCTGCCGGAGTTACCGGCTGGGGCCCAGATGGGGAATTGCTCCAGGGGAGACATAGGACTAGCCGCTGGTGTGTGTCGGGAGTGTGGGGGGCTGTTAATACTTGGCTGGCTGGCGGTGGGGACGACGACGATGACGGAGTGGCTCTCACCAGACTCAGCCCAGGTGAGGAGGCCCGGACGGGCCTGATGCGCGACGGACCTGCGGCGCGCAAAGCGGGGATCTTTGTTACCTATGCCTGCCAGACGCCCCCGGCTTCCTCCCTTCAAGTTCCCCAGCCAAGCCGGGACCCCAGATGACCCTGCCGGTGAGGGCGGAACAAGGGAGGATTTGGGGGGCCTTCCACCTTCTCTAGCTCCGGCACCCAAGCCCAGGGCCCACACCCTGCCCAGGCCGAATTCGGGGAGTGGGGAGTCCTGGGCTGTCTTGGTGACTAATGTGTGAAGGCCGCTGCCAAAATCGGGCATGGCCGGCCTGCAAAGGTGCGGACGGGGTTCTCTCCGCTCCTTCCTGGACTTCCATCCAGTTCGTCCTCGTGCGGGGAAAGAAAACCTCACTTTCTACGGACAGTTAGGCAAAACAGAGTTGCTTATGCCCATTCCTGAAGGGTCACAGCTTTTGGGGAGGGTGTGCCCCGCATCTCTAGGACAAATCCAAGGCCCTCTCCTACACACCGCCATACTCCCCGCAGCAGCTTTTATTTCCTGACCTGGTCACACCTGAGAGTGGCCACCAAGGTGTAGAAGGGCCCTAGGGGAAAGCTCCATGTTACCTGCACACCACAACAGCCTGGGTCGAAGGCCCCCACGCCCCACGCCGGCCCCCCAACCAGACAGAACCTTTGGTGGTGGGCTTCACAGCAACCTTCCCTTGGGCAAGGTTGCCCGAGAGACATGGTCCCTAACTTTGCAGCCTCCTTTGCCTTTGAAGAGTGGCCGTTGGGAAGGGGGAGGTGCACCAGGGATCGCTTTTCTTGGCATCCTCCCTGGCTGCCTGCTGTGGAGGGGCTCTGGTGCTAGTGGAATCCCCTTCTTCCTCAGCCCCTGTTAGAAAGGACGGGGAGGTAAGAGCCAGCCCCCGGGATTTATAGGCGTTTCTAGAGCAGGCTTGTGTTCCCTGTGATGTGTCGGGTGGTTCCACATCTGCTTCCAGAGGAAGTATGGAACTTTCTTGTGCAGCCGGGACCTGGGGCCAGCCCACATGGACTAGGCGTTCTGGTGTTTCTGTGGGACACCCCACCCCCACCCCCGTGGCTGCCCTCCGGGCTGCGGCTCAGAGTTCAGGGGGTATTTCTGACAGTCAGGGCTCTTGTTCAACAAATGTGAAATTCCTAAATTCCTTCCGTGAGAAGATGACTCTGATGTTAATCAATGTTAATCCGGTGCCGGGTGGTTAGGGGAGGAGGGGTGGGGTGGGGGGTGGGGGGGCAGGCTCACAGTGGGGGGAAGTTAGGGCAAGCTGAGGGCTTGGGACAGGAGGTCTGGAATCTCCTTGGGGAGGATGGGGGGGGGGATGTCTTGAGCTCAACAAAGGAACATTTTAATGAGAGCCTTAAATCAATTTCACCCACTGTGCCTTGGTGTGGAACCTGTCCATGTGCTGTAAGCAATTTCAGCCGAAGCGCCTGCTGTCTTCCAGCGAAAATCCAGGGACTCAACTCACCCCCAGACAGCAGGACTTCAGGGGGCAACAAAATGCTTTTTTAATAGAGCACGGGTAGATTTTTCCATCCAGTTGTTTAAGTGCGTAATTAACTTGCGTGGTCATAAGACCCCACTGTTAATAAGGCTGGATGAAGAAAGGACGCTGGCTGGCCAGCATGGTGGAGTAGACCATTTTGAAGTTCGGGTAATTATGCTGTAAATGGCTGAGTAACTTTCCAAACTTTGAGATCCCTGTTGTGATAAATACCAGGAAGGAGGAGGAGGAGGAGAGAGGGCTTAATGTCTGAAACCACCCGGGGTGCTCAAGGCCAGCCCATCTCTTGAATGGTTGGTGGTCTTCACTGTCCAGCCTCATTCTCATCCTGCTTGTTCTCTGGGTTGTTACATTTTGGGATCGCTGCCCTCCAGGGGATCCTGCCCCCGCTCTGAAGCCTGTAATTCAAGCCTAGGAATTGCTTTTATCAGCGATGGGTTTTCTCAGATGTTGGGGAGCTTAGAGCAGAGAGGGGAGGGCCAGTGTAATCTCAGCATATCATTTGCCAAAGTAATCATCCCGAAACATTACTTGCAGCCTGATGCACCCCTACTCTGAAAGCTCCTGCCTGGCCGGCAGGGTATCCAGAGTCCAGCTCCCTGGTGTTCAGAGCCGGGCAGAGTGGTGGCCAGAGCTTAGCGGAGGAGACGAACTGTTTGGCAAAGCAGGAACTCAAACTCCTTGGCAGGCCCTTGGCCTTGGGAAGATTTCCCGACTTCTCCATTTGCCACCTCCGAAAAGGTGCTGACTGCAGGGAGCTGCACACTTGAGCGTTAAATGCTTTGGAGTCTGTCTCTTCTTTGAGTCTGCTTCTCTTCTTCCCTCCCCAGCTCTACAGTCACCCCTAGAATGTGTATACATTCCCACCGGGTTTCTCCAGGAACTCTCCACCCTTCTAGCCCAGCGGGTCCCTTCCTCATCCCTGAAAACATACCCCAGAGAGGTGCACTTGTTAAGCACCAAACTGCCAATCACAAGGAAGCTTGCCTCTTCCCAGAGGTATTTCAGAAGAAAGGCCTGGCGACTCCTCCGGAGAGATCCCAGCTCTGGGAACCCTCTGGAGCAGGGTTCTACCTGGTCGCAGACAGGGTCGCTATCAGTTGGCTTCATGGCAACAGTGTGGGGTTTCACACGTCCCTGGTTGTCCCTAGTCTTTATTTCTTCTAAAGGGAGTCCCTTCGTGCGAAAATGGCCTCTCGTCCCCTCTCCCTTGCCCTGCCCCAACACTGCTGTCTCCCTGAAGTTGCCCCATCTCCCCAGTCGAGAAAAAGGCATGCCTGCAAAACTTCCGGACACTGCATCCCCATGGATTGCAGTGTACCGAAGGGCTCTTCCAGCGCCTTCTTTATCATGGGTCCTGACGGTGGGTCAATGTATGCTTGGGTCAGTACTCCGGGTGGAACAGGGATTTGTTGATGTTTTGGGCTTCTAACCGAAAGGTTGGAGGTACTAGGCTACCCAGAGGTTCCTTGAAAGAAAGACTATGTGATCCCTTGTGAGTTAGTTTATTGTGCCAACCTGGCCAATAAACGCAAGTAGGGTTAATTGAAGAGCGGAGGGATAAATGCCTCGGTGAGCCTCGCCTTTCTAGTTCTTGGGTCTCTTATTCTCTGATGGTCAGAACAGTGTGAGGTGCCTTAGCTAGTTCTTTGCCTCGGCTGGCAAGGCTCACTTCCTGCTACACATCCCCGAGGAGGAGAAGCCACATGGACCTACCCCGATGCAGCCCTGGGTGCTGGAGCAGCCGTGTGGAGACCCTGCCAGCACTGAGATGCTTACACATTCACTGACACGGTTTTCCTCCTGCAGTTGGTGTCATGGTGTGTGTTTTGTGAGATGGAGGAGGACTTTGTGGATTGGTGTCGGACATATGGGTTAATGTTGGACTTGTGGGCTTGAGCAGCACTGGGTTGGGATCTTTTCTTGATGTGCACTTAACCTTTATATAAAACTCTCTCTTATACACGCATTTCTGTGGATTTGTTTCTCCAAAGTACCCAGACTAGCAGCACACCTTGGGAAAAGCCAGCCGTGGAGAACCCCTGTGGAGCAGAGTGTTCCCCGCCCCCCCCTACCCCACGGGGAGGCTGTGAGTTGAGTTGAATGGATGGCACATACACTTAATTTACAAAGTGAACAAACTTCTGCTTCCGGGGTTGAGAAGTCAAGGACAGCATTAAACACCCCCTATGCACCGTGGGTGTGTCTGGGTCTTTGCATCAAACACCCCCTATGCACCGTGGGTGTGTCTGGGTCTTTGCACCCTCTCCAGCCTCTCTGGGTTGCGGTTGTCTGTTTTTCTGAAGCGAGGGGTCAGATTCTTCCTTTCCTATGTCTGGACAGCCTGTTGTTTGTGGCGGCTTCTCTGGGTTTCGAAGTGACAGGGTGCTGGCTTCTCCCAGGAGTCCTAAGCATGGGCCACCATCTCTTGAGAATGGTATCACTAGGCTTTGTGGCGTTCAGTGTCAGTCGCTAATGGTGACTAATGGGGAGCCCTACCAGGCTACACAGCATCCTTGTTTCTTCTCCATTTTAAGCCGAGAGCAATGTGATGGACACGGTTATATTGACTGCCATGCAGTCAATGCTGACTCATAGTGACCCTGTAGGACAGCCTGGAACATTTCTTATAAGAATACTACTAATAAAAAACGCCTTAGGATCGGTAGTTGGAAATATGGCCTTGGTGATAGAAACAGATGCCAGAGCTCTCACGATAGACTTTTGGAATGATAACATATTCGTTGCCACTACCTTTTTGCAACAACAATTGCGGTGGCTATACATGTGGGCTTTGCCGGATGGAAAATCTAGGCCTCAAATTAGCTACATCTGGGAAGAGAAGCTGGAGAAGCCCAGTATGATCAGTCAGAACAGGACCAGGGGCTGACTGCAGAACAGATCATCAGTATGATCAGTTAGAATAGGACCAGGGGCCATCCAAGTTCAAGTGACGCAGAAGAAAATTAGAATGAGTCCATGAGAGCGAAACCATGACCTTGAGCATGTCCCACCTGAATTAGAGGTCATCT